CAAAACAGAGTATAACATTGGCATTCAGTATAAATGCACAATTTTGTGGAAATGGTAATGTAAGCTAGGCAGAAAAGATAAACAGGGCAAGTCATACATATCTAGCTATTAGTTACAGTTTAGGCTGAATATAGACTGGCTGAGAATCGCTATGTAAGTACAAGAGCTTCAATAGGCACTTCACCTCCCGATCTGTCATGCTGCCACCCCTGGTCCACACACTGTCCCGTGAGAACAGCCAGGTGGCAGGCAGATGAGCAATTAAGGGTGTGCTGGAATCAGGGATTGCATCTCTCTGAGCCGAAGCTATATGTGGGGTTGGCTTCCCACACCGAGGGGGATTCTGTCTCCATGCACATGAACGCAGACTTTGGGACATCATGGTACTTGGCGTGGCTGCAGGCGGCAAGGTCAAAGACACCAGGTGGGTCTCCGACCCAGGGCAGGATCTGTAGGTCTCTCCTCTGTTTTCATGCTCTGTGGTAGCAGGATAGCTTGGGAGGGAGGTGTGCATTGTATGTGCTTCCAGAATGCCTCACAAATCAGGTCATAGCGGGCATTGAAGTTCACCCTCCAGGACAGACTCGTCTGATGTTGTGGAGGTTGTGGCGTGGTAGCCATCTTGGGCTCGTCGGCGGCAAGATATTTCTCTGCTGCAGGTGAGTAGATTTCCCCAGTGGGGACCGGGATAACCCGCGCTGGTCCAAAGGGGGGGGGGTAGCAGGGCAACAGGAGGGTTGTCACTCCATGCGGACCCTGTGTCGGGAGATCGGCTGCCTCCCCCAGTCACCAGGCCACCTTCCTCTCTAGGCCTTATGTGTAAGGTACGGTATATCTCCTCAGGATGATGTGGTTCTGTTATCCACGGGCCCCCACACGATTCAACAGATATCTACCGTCATGCGGGTCTGCAAATATATCGCTTTTGGGCAATAAAAGCCAAAGTTTAATTCAGCTGTGCAGGAGCTCTCATGAAACACGTCTGGCAAGCTTGACTGTCAGGCCCCGCCACCCAGGGTTAACATTTTTATTTTTGCCATGCATATGGGATAACAAACGTGCATGGGGTACCCCAAAGGCAATCCTCATGCTTTGCAAACAATAGTAACAATGGAGTATACATTTGTACTTGCACAATTTTTTAGTTAGGAGTTGTTCAACATAGTCATGAGTCATGTTCAACATAGATTGGTAGCAGGTAGTATCTGTTAGTCATAGCTTATATCGAGGCATTCACATTCAGACATGCATAGATTCATGTACTGAGTGGTTGACAGCTAATCGCGGGTTCAACGCAGGCTAAACCAGCTGCGAGAGGTTAATACAACTGGTGTGGGTTGGAGTGCTGTCTGACGAGGTAATTTGCGTTAAAAACTACAATAAAGAGTCATACATTTGACTAGGCTTGTATGTGTATAATGCTTTTGTGTGATATGCAATACACGCTTAGTTAAGTAGTCTAATACCCTACTGAGCTCTCTGCATTTCCCTGTCTCTTAATGGGTCTGAGCAGGCTACTCTTGGGCTTATATATCATTATGGCCTGGAGCTGCAGTGAGATGACCATATAATAGCAGTGCTGGAACATTAAAACAGTGTATTAAGATAACGGTTAAACATAGAACATATTGCTGGCCTGTCAGCATTAACCCTCTAGGAGGCCCCTTTGGAGTAGTAGGGAAAGGCATTAGTAATCGAGGGCCGAAAAATAGTATGTCGGCTATCAGGGCTGCTGGTATCATCATATGAAAGGAAAAATAATAGTAAACAATCAGAGCTCATAAGGAAATCAATATTTGGTCATTAGTCCCAGAGAGTTCCATTTGTCAACTCAGTTTATCCTATGCCCTCGAGGGGCAGAGCACAGTCCAGCCTTTGGGAGAGATGTCTTGTGCTTCCAGGCTTCACAGTGGGTTGTAGGGTAAAGCCACTCACCGGGATCGATGTCTCCACCGATACCTGATGTGTGTTGGCTGGCTTAAGGTTTGACAGTGCCCGCTCACGTGGCGCCCACAGCTGGTGCGATGTATGCCGCTTTGCTTGCCGCCATGTTGGGGCCTTCTTCATTGCCACTGGCTGCTGCTACAGGGTTGTAATCCGCCTGGGACTGAAGTGTTTAGTCAGCTGTTGTGGGGCCTTTCGTTGAGGCTTTTGAACGAGTTCCCTGTTGGCTTTCTGCCCAGGTGGGCTTTGTGCGTGCGGGTTGGATGCTGGGTAGGCTGTTGTGCCTGACGGGGCCCCATGCAGCCTTTCTCCCGCTCGCCTCCGTCCACTTCTCTGTCCCCCCGCCACCTCTGATGTGCATATTTCCAATTGCTCCCAGAATCGGGCAAAGATTTAGTCGAGGTGTAGCAGCATGCGATCAAGCGTGGCACACCCATCTGGCGTGGCCTGCCTCGTGTCGCTTGTAGAAGGTGTCTCCGCCATTTTGAGGAGGATTTCCGTGTATCAGTTTCTCGCAGTCTCGGTTACCCGCTTTCCGCAAGGTGAGTGCCTTTGCTTGATGCGGACCGGGATGACCGCCACCGGTCCAAGAAGTGCTGCTCGGGGTGCCCACCTTCTGGGTGGCGTCTCTCCCGGTCTCTCCCGGTCTCAGCCCTTTGTAGGCTGCAAGCCCTGTTTGGTCGGTCCGATGTCGTAGAAGTTCAGGAGAGGTACTGTCTGGTGCAGCAGCCTCTCCTGGGTTTAATTAGTATAAGCTGCAGTCTGAAAGTGTCGATTTCTGGGTGAAACACCCCGTTTTTCGTCCAGGGTTAATGATGTTTACAGTTTGCAGAGTATTTATAATATCTCTTTTAAAGACTGAAACGATTACGTTTTATTTCGTAGAATTATAATTTATTCTTACTGTAGCAAGATATCCCAACATTGTACTGTTGGACTAAATGATCACATGATAAAATTGGAATAAAAGGTGATGAGATAATTTAAAAAAAAAAAAAATAATATATTTAAACCATAGGATTTATTCAATGTAATCAAGTGTAATTGTTTACATTCTAAACGCGTCATTGTATTAAATGTCACAGTGTATAACTTTATATATGTATAATTCCTTGTAATTCTACGGCCATTTTAATTTTGTCCTCTCCCAATAATTATATGTCCAGAAGGAAGACTCGAATTGAGAAAGAAAAGTGATTCTCCAATCCTGGCTCCTATGCTGACATAGCAGGAGACGGTTGATTAAATGGCTACAACCTCTGTTAAATGGCTGCAACCTCAGTTAGCTTCTGTAACTCAGAAGTGTAACTCCCACTAATCTCATGCAGCCTGAGCCATGCTTGTGACTCATGGATTTTTTATTATGTCTTAAGAACCCTGTGATGGGATTTATTATATATCTGTTGACTGTTTGGAATTTTGTGTTCACTAGAATTGATTGATAGAGATCACTGGTCTCTGCTGCATTACAAAGTTACAAACATTATTATTATTATTTTATTATTTATATAGCGCCATCACATTCCGTAGCGCTGTACATTGGGTGGACTAACAGACATGTAATTTTAACCAGACAATTGGACGTGCAGGAACAGAGAGGTTGAGGGCCCTGCTCAATGAGCTTAAATTCTAGAGGGAGTGGGGTATAGTGACACAAAGGGTAAAAGTAGGGGTACGAAGTAGGTTGTTAGAAAAGTATTCATTGAGGGCTTAGTAGGTAATTTTTGACAGTTGCAGGAGAGGAGTCATGGGGGATGGGGGATAAAACCTGCTTACAGTTTAACTGATATGATTTCTTGAAGAAGTAAGTTTTCAATGATTTTTTGAATGAGTGGAGACTGGGTGAAAGTCTTATGGAGAAGGGAAGGGCGTTCCACAGGAACGGTGCAGCCCTGGAGAAATCTTGGAGGCGAGCATCAGAGGTGGGAGTATGGACAGCGGATAGTCGTAGGTCTTTGGCAGAGCGTAGGGGCCTTGACGGGACATACTTGTGTATTAGGGAGGATAGGTAGGTTGGAGCAGCATTATGTAGGGACTTGTAAGCAAGCACCAGAATTTTAAATTGAGCCCTATATTTAACTGGAAGCTAGTGCAGGGACTGACAGAGCGGGGAGGCGTGGGAGGTGCGAGCGGACAGGAAAAAAAAAAAACAAACAAAAAAATACGAAAATTTAGTTTTTTGTTATTTTCACAATTACAGAATGGCCGAATGGATTGCAGAAAGAATTTTGATAGGTGCTGTTTGTTCATTTTTGTGGCTAACTGCAACTCTACTAAGTGCATGGAGAGGACAGCTATATTTTCTCCTTTACAAATGCTCCTAAGATCACACTGACTAATACTCACTCCTACACTTTCAACCAGGCACCATGTTAATATTAAAATGCTGTTACACCATGTTTATCATTATACTGTGAAAATAATGATAATATATAGTGTGTGCATGGTGTTTTTACTACTCGGTATGTTCTCCTCTTAAGGAGATAATTGTGTCTCCCACCTTTTGGATTCATCCATTCCCTTTTGGGAATAATGGTCATCCAAAATTTAGAAATTAACTAAACATTTTAATGAATTTTTGAATTTTGGCCTCACTAAAATGTGAAAAGTATCGAACCAAACTGCAATTTATTTCTGTGCAAATCTATAGTTAATATATTTTTAGAAAACCACAAAAATGTGTCACTCAATTTTGCACTTGTAAAGTAAAATCAGAGAAAGAAATCATTAGATTCTAAATGTTTCATAAAATTCTTAGAAGGAATTGAGTTAAGAGTTGCATTTACATTTCTAAATTCTCCTTTTAGAAACCGGAAGGTGTTGTAGTGCCATGGATAATCTTTTGCAAGACCCACTGAATTAATGAATTACAATGCTATATTTAGTGCAGTTCACTGCATTTTCTTAATCTCACCAGACAGATTTTCTAGAGAATGTCAATGAAATGCAATTAGTTAAACAATGCGTAGAATCCCATGGGGATTAATCTTCAGTCTGAAGTAACAAAAACGTAGTATATTTAGCCGGTAAACGGATTTAAACTATTTGCAGAAGCTCAGCATCTGGTGACATAGGGAAGTATTGCACAGTCTATTAGACACTGGGAACAAGCAAGTCCAACTGAGAGTTCTAGCCATAACATGCCTGTTATATTTACGAAGAATCCTTTCATAACCCTTTGATTGCCAGTTCTTGACTAGAGTATGGATCTTGGAAAGGCAAAACTTTCGAAAACTGGTCTCAACACTTTATTTCAAGCAATCCATCCCTTACATGGCTTAGCCTGGACAGACGGCAGACAAGCTGTATTGACGGCCTTGCATCTTGATAACGAAGAGCCAAAATTTGGCAACTCTGTGGTTATCGGACAGTTTGAACACGTGCATGGTCTATATTGGGGACCAGCTATTGGTAGTGACATCCCAGCTTTATTGGCAATTCAGCACAAGAAACATGTCAGTATTTGGAAGCTTAATAATGACCCATCTGGAAAAACTAAGCTAGTTCTTTCTCAGACTTGTGAGGCTGCTGATCCCCTTCCAGTGCTACCCAGTGGCTGTGTATGGCATCCAAGCAAAGATGTCTTGGTCATCCTTACAAAGCGTGATATTTCTGTCTTACATTCTGTGACTTGTAATAGTGATACTGTAAAAGCAGATATTAAAGGCTGGGGTGTCATTCACTGTGCATGCTGGACTAAAGATGGTGACCGTGTGGTGGCAGCTATCGACAATGCCCTTCACTCTTACACATGGAATGATGACCTCAAAACCTTAAATCCTTGTTACTTTTGTCCTGTTTTTGAGATTAATGGCACAATTAATGCTATTCAGCCTATCATGGGCAACCAAGTTGTTGTAACGACAGGAATCTCAATAGATAACCTTCATTGTTGGAACAAGTATACCCCACCGGACAGCTCAGCCTTACTGTCCTCATTGCTTGTGCAAGATGAAGAGGTTTCCCAGAATAACAGAAGGATATCCATAGATTCAGGAAGATCAGAACCAAATGACTTGATAAAGACCTCTTCACTTCTTCCAGCAGATCTTTCTCAGATCCTTGCAAGACATCGTAACTCTGACCCCAGTCATCTTATTCAATTTAGACACAAGTACTTCTCAGCTGAAGCTAGACACAGTATACCAAGCCTCATCATTGTATGTTTCGAGAAGAATTCCACCACTACCAGAAAAATATCCATCCCGGGTATTTCAACCCCTGATATATTAGTTGTTGATTCTCAAGCTAAAAGAGTAATTGTAGCATCAAACAAATCAAATCATATTTTGGTGTATCCAATCAATCCATCAAATATGTCTGGAATTCAAGAGCTGAAACTGGGAGAGAAAGAAAGAGCCAAAGGAATCTGTTTTCTCACAGATTCAACATTACTGGTCTTGGTTGGAAGGCAAAAGACAAATGATGTAACATTTCTGCCTTTATCGAGCTATGAAAAATATATGGTTCATTTGATTACCAAAAAAATAATGACTACAGAATCTACTTTGCCAGCTCTTAAAGGTGGTCAGAATTTAATGTTAGATTGCATTTCTAGCTTCTGCACACCAGAAAACAATCCATTTTGTGACCATAATAATAGTTTTAGCAAGGAGCTCTTGATGCCAAACAGTATTGGTGTTCGAGCTCTGCATGAACCGAAAAAAGAGACAGAAATTATTAGCTGTAAACATTCTCCATCTCTGGATCTTGAAGACCTACAGAATATTGATATTGAATCATCGAGCCATATCACATCTACCCTGCATCCCAATAGCAGAAAACTGTTCAGAATGTTTTCTCAAGATCTGGATGGCCATCAAAACCCCTCCAACCCAACAGAACATCATCCCAGCACTTCTAGTATAGGAGAACTTGTGTCGTTCAGACAAAATAGTGGGAATAAAGAATCAGTCTTAACAGATTCACATTTTTGTCTTTCTGAAGTGAAAGAATTGCTAAACAAGCAAACACAGTTACTACCATATCCATATTGTGAAGATCCTGAATATGTTTCCATTGTGTGTACGGTATGTACTTATTCTTTTGTTTCATAGTTCCAGATGTATTCATAAATCTGGGGAGTTTATTCTAAAATTAGCAATTTTCTTAGTGAACAAGCCCCAGACCGTTTCTGAAATATTTTGATTCTGAAATTTTAACTACTTGTTTAGCCATTATGTGATCTGCAATAGTGTTAACAAAAAGTACTTGAAACAAAAAAACACTAATTATATGCATGAAGAAAATAACAATGATGAAAAAAACATTATTATTTTGAATTAAGCATAAATGTTAAACTAAAACAATGATGATTGTATACTATTTTGCATTATACTGAAATGAGAGAACAAGGATAGAGAGGTAGAAGGTTGCAAGCGGAGCAGTATGTGTATGATGCTATTTTATTGTCTTGTGTATCATGTACTACTTAACAATAGTTGTTTTATATACATGTATCTCTATAAACTCCTGTACCAGTGATATACAGATTTTTGCATGTGCTCCACATTTTCCTGATCATGTATGTTTCCAACAAATATGCTCTTTTGGGCAATTTGCACTTTTTTGCAAATCTATGAAAAATAGGTTAAAACTTACCTTGAATCCAACACCAGGCCCAGTTCTTTACAATCGATTCTCTGTCTTCTTTGTCGACACACAGCGTCTTCCTCTTATCATTCTTTGTCCAGTCAAATGCTTCTCATAGAGAAGTATTGTCGGACCACTGAGCGCTACACTGTGCACGCGCTGGGCGTTCTTGTTCACCAGCGGTGAGAGGAGCTGAGAGACAGCTCATTTAGCCATTAAAGCCCTTCCTCCTCTGTGTCGCCAAGGAGGGCAAGGAGGGAAAACTGTACAGAGGGTGGTGAGGTGGACAAGGGGAGAGGAAAGGCTGGGCATAAAAGAGGGAGGGTAGAACAAACAGCTTGGAGTAATTCTTTAAGTGTAGTTTACGTACCCAAAAGAAAAACAAAAATGTCATTGTAAGTCATGGGAAATGCCTATTTTTGTATTCGTTACCAAATATACAAAAAAAAAAAAAAATCCGTATTAGCTGATATATCATAATCAATGTACCCATAGTACTGCACTGCATGTTAGAGTTGTACAAATAATTCTATACATAGAAATAGTAAGGTACAGAAGGTGCTGTAATTGAAGGCAATGCCACTTCAACGTGATAAAAAGGAATCCTTTCATCGGTTGAATGTGAAATCTCCTTCTCCTATGAATGGTGTTCTGACCTTGTACTTTTTATTCAGTTCTGTTGACTAACACGACCTCGGAGGACTCTTTCTATAGGCATTAAATATATTTATATACAGTTATGGTATGTCCTGACAAGGTAACAATATAGACATCCTTATATCGTAAATAAAATCTTCCTATTTACTATAAAAATCCATTTACCCATTCTGACATCTACATAGCGCAAGCTTTTCTTATGCATTGCCTATACATTTTATCTTCATTCTTCTTATTTCTCATTTTCTCTGTATTCAGCTCCCTCTGTCTCCTGGAAATTGGAATCTTTTCAATGTTTCGACAGAGGAGCGTGTGATTAATATATTATGCGTGTAAAAAAATGAATTAAAACCTTTTTATGCCTATATGAAATTGTACGAAGTTGATAAAAGTCTGATGGGTTATAGGCCTTAGGACATAGCACCCGCAGGAAAGATTACCAGAAGCCTTCCTCATTCTCCTTAAGCAGCCACCAGGTAATATCAAACTATCTGCTGCGAATATCAGAAGATTGGAGGTTATGTATAAAAAGTGTTGCTTTTTATCCACCATTGTTTTGGTGCTTTAATATCTATTTCCCAAGCTCTTCACCACAATTGGTGCGCCCCTTTTTTTGCTTTGAAAATCTTGTGCACACACCAAGACATTACACAGACATTACACACACAGCACCCAGTCTCCCATCCACAAACATAGTTCAGTCACCACACACCACACTCAACCAGCATACACAGAGATACTCCTCCACCACATACTACTCTCAGCTTCTTCAACAGACAAAGAAGTCAGCCACTACATACACTATCACACACAACACCCATACACATACAAAACCCAACCACAGATACACGCTCACACACCACTCACAGAAACAAAGCCCTGAGGGGCCATGGGCAATCTTAATCCAATTCTGCCTCCTGCAATATTGTACAAATTAAGTTACGGCGCACACATAAAAATACACTAATAATCTTATCAGACTACTCAAAGTCACCTATCTCAGCAAACAAATATGGAGATTCAGTTCCACCATATGGCCATATTGTGTTAAGCCCACCCCTACTTCACAGTACCCCAATATCGGTGGGTCTTACACCAATTTTAGTAATTTGCATCATGAATATTGGTGGTCACTACAGCAGCACCATTCCTGCAGAATGCATGTTTCGGGTGTGCCCCAATCCTTTGTTTTTGCTCCTGTGATATTGTGTCAGTATTGTGTTAGCACCCCTCCCCAGTATTAAATCAGTGGAGCCTGTTCTTATTATTATAGTTTTGTGTGCTAACAGCTATTGCCAAACACACACTTACACTTCATAGGCTCTTCCTATTTCTTGGAATACCAATAATTGTTATATATACATCATTTCCGTGTATATAATTAAGTCATTTCTGACTCTGACCTTAGTGTTAATTTTTATTATCTTGTTATTTCTTCCAAGAATTCTTCAGGTGATGGAACGGATGAAAAAAGATGTATCTTATTGTGTCACGGAAAACTTCAGTTGAGAACACTGCAGCATTGCTTTCATCTAAAAAACATGGAAATGAAATGCGGTAACTTATCTTTATTCATTATTTTCACATATACTATACTCAGTATCTTTTAATTAGAAAGCCCATTTTCATGTCATTTCTTTTTATATATATATTTCTTTTTTTTCATATTTGGCTATTTTTTATGAATCTTCCATTTTAGGTGATCAATGACATAAAATGATTTATTTACCTTTGCATCCTTTAATAGTTTTGCTTCTTCTGAAAACCAAATGGCTAGGCTTACAATGTACATGTCCGGCACACCAACAACACACATTACCTTTCGATCCACAATCTGAAAAACATGGTCTGTCAGTGGAGATGGGAGTTATAATTGTAGAATTAGGTGGAGTTAAAATCAAGGACATTACAAAGTAGCACCAACTCCTGATGCTTGAGCCCAAAACTCAATGATGCCCACAATGACAGAGAGGTGACGATATGTGGAGGCATATCCCATCTCTCTATGTTATGTCCTCTTCTCTCTTCCTATGAACAGCATCTCAATTAATCTTTACCTGAGTCAAACACATGCTGCACAGCGGCATATTCAATGTAATCCCACCATGCTGTTAACTAATAAGGGGTGTATTGCAAAGTTCTGTGCCATCAACATTTACTAACAGTCTCCTTCCCCTTAGTAGTCCTACAGAGCACTATATAAATGATCTTTCTTTTTATGCCTAGTGGCTTCATTGAGTAATAGTAAAAATATAAATACACATAAATACTCTCCTGTAGGCTGTAGAGCAGGGGTTCTCAACCCAGTCCTCAGGACCCCCTACCAGTCCAGGATTTGGGGATTACCTGGGTGTGTCTCAGGTGTTTAGAAAAAGGGAAAAAAACACCTTAGACTCTAAGGTGTTTTTCTTTTCTTTTTCTAAACACCTTAGACACACCCAGGTAATCCCTAAACCCTGGACTGGTAGGGGGTCCTGAGGACTAATGTTGAGAACCCCTGCTGTAGAGGGTCCCACATTTAGTGCTTCATCCTCCAAAGCCTCCAATTAACACCTGTGGATAAAATAATGATATGTTTATTTGTGCATAATGATTGACCCCTGTGCATAATTATGTTATGGGAATTGTTACCTTTAAAATATTTTGAGAATTTAGCTGTATATATTGTCCCTAGGACGTGACTCATATTTCCAAGACCTATCTATTGAGTCCATCTCTTTCAAAGAGACTGCAAGCATTACGTTGTTACCTTCATTTGACACTTTTGAAACCCATTCTTAGGGCACACCGGTGGTTTATTCCCTAAACCAGCAATCGTTATTTCTACAGATTTGCTGTATTGGCCTAAAATGTTCAATTTCCTTACCATATCTTTATAATTCTATTTGCCTGTTATAGTTCATTTGGGTGCTAGGTCTTTTTTTGGTGACAGCAATTCATAACTTCAAAGGGATATTGAAATGAACGCATGGAATCTTTTCCTCCAAAATTTGAAAAATGTAAAGACAATGAGTTTCCAATTTAGATTATAATAACTAAAACTGCAAAAAAATATCTTTGCAATTCTGTTATTGCAAGCCAAGTGGATGGTATACAAATTGAATACACAGTTTTGGAGGCAATAACATAGAGATATTTTTTTGTCATGTTTACAATGTAATTTTTTATGAATATACCCCCATAGGGAAGGATCACCAGGCTCTTGATGCATACACGTTTATTATCTGTAACACTGGTCAATACACAAGTGTGACAACAAAGAAAGAAAAAAAAAGAAGCATTTCAAAAATATAAAATCTTTATGAAATGTTCATAGAGACTGTGCTGGAATTTCATTGTAATTCTAACAAAATCAAAAAATATCATAAGACAAGTTGGGGCAATATATAATTGCTCCCTTTGACAAACAAATTGACAAAAGGCAGAGCTACCAATGTCAAGTCAAATCATTGGAACCACAGAGAGTTGGCATGGCAAGTTGAGAAAACATTGGTCATACAGATCTACATATAGATGTCAGAGGTACATTTAATGAAAATATCAAACATATATCAATTGCAGGGAGATTTGAATCATTTAATCACTTAGAATATTTTTTTATTTTGCCTTAGGAATGCTGTATTTGTCTAACTACCTATCTATTTATTTATGGACTGGCCTAATCTCTCAGGTTCAAGGTGGATCACTCTCACAGAAGATGGAGAAGGCTTTGTCCCTTTGATATTCAGAAGCAACCAAGAGGTCATCATTAGGGACGCGAGTTTGAAATCCTAGAGCTAATTCTAGACTAACCTCAAAATAAAAATCATAATGTGAGTGTGGACAGAGGTAGGATCACAATGGATCGCAACTTTGGCTGTAAACCTTTTGCAGTGGGAGTGATAGTTATATGGGGTGTGGGATGTGAAATTAATAAACAGTAAGCTCATTATATTAACCTTGTTGTGTATACAACTTTTATTTTCAATATGATTTTAACTTGAGAATCATTGCTATTTGCTAGACTTACATTTTTTTTTACAATAAGTATCAGCAGTGTAAGATATAATTCCCAAGCCAGTTTTCATCAATGTAGCTATTTGTTCTCCTGAAGTCTCTGCTTTTAAAGCCCGTCTGATTTAAAGTTAGGTTATAGCAGGTCATTGACAATCCCACAGCAAACATATTGCATCTATTTAGAAAGCTGATCGCTGCTTGTAATAGTATAGTAATAGGGAGGATTAGGAATGAAGAACAATAGAATTTATTATTTCGAAAGATCATGTGTTTTCTAAAAAAAATAAAAAAATCACTTGTATGTGTGTGAGTGTATGTATGAGTTTGAGTGTGTGTGTGTGTCAGGGTGTTTGTGAGTGTGTGTGTCAGGGTGTGCATCTGTGTATATATATATATATATATATATGTCAGCGTGCTTCTGTGTCTGTGCACACATCTGTGTATGTGCATCTGTGTGTCAGGGTGTGTATTTTTATGTGCATATGTTGGTGTGTATTTATGTGTGTGTATGTGTCTGTGTGTATCTATATGTGTGTATGTGTTGGTGTCTATATGAATTTGTGTGTATGTGTCGGTGTAATTATATGCATCTGTGTGTTAATGTACATGAATATCTGTATAAGTATGTATGTATGTGGTAGTGTATGTGCATACATCCAAGCAGTCAAACACCAGCACAACATACAAACACACTCCTGCAATCTAACACAAACATTACATACAAACACACCCCTGCATTCAAACTCAAAAAAAATATATACAAACACCCCTTCAAATACCAACACTGTACATTACACTATAGCGCCAGTAAATGCCGTAGAGCTGTACAGATATACAACCTAGAAATTGTGACTTGGGGTGCCTTGGGAAAATACTGAAATATTAAGGGCGCCTTGAACATAATAAGTTTGGGAACCACTGCCATGTACTATATTAAGATGTCTTGATGCCATACACAAGAGCGGATAATCGAATAAAAAGCCTTAAATGGCATGAAGAGCAATCAATAAAGTACGGTTAAAACAATGTCACTTTCAGATTTACTGTCAACACAAACTGTATACAATGTTGTCATTTGCTTAAACTTTGAGGAAGCGTCTTCCTGGCACAAACCGTGTCTCTCTCTCTCTCTGACCCCCTCCTCCAGTACACTGCTTGCTCTCTTTTTATATATATATATATGCAAGTCGGATGGAATAACGTTATATTTCTACTTGCCTGATCAAGTCCAGATATTTGCCCTATAGTCAGGGCCCAGCTAGATGTCACAAACAGTGTTCGTCGTCCCAGCATTGCCCATACAAGTGTTGTTCTAGTGCTCATGTATGGGCTTTAAATGTCCAGAATTTAACTTTAACTGTCACTTGTGGTGCATTTTCCCTCAATCCTCCCAACACCGGATGACAAAGCCGGTCAGTCACGTGAACAGGAAAACGAAGGGAAAATCGGGTGACAGATCTGGGAGCTCTGTGCAACTCACACTGAACTTTGTGTTTTGTGATGTCTCTAGTGATGTCTTTAGTGTCTCTGACTGCCTCTCTGCTGTTTCTAACTGGATGGCTGCCCACTTCCTTAAACTAAACTTGACCAAAACGGAAATTCTGGTCTTTCCTCCCTCAAGTGTTGTTACTCCTGTGTCTGTCTCCCTCCAAGTCAACGGTGCTACCATCAGCTCCACCATGCAGGCTCGCTGCCTAGGTGTTCTCTTTGACTCCGACCTCTCCTTCAAGCCTCATGTTCAATCTATCGCCAAATCCTGTAATTTCCATCTCAAAAACATTGTGCGTATCCGCCCCTAATTAAAGGACAACTATAGTGCCAGGAAAACATACTCGTTTTCCTGGCAATATAGTGCCCTGAGGGTGCCGCCACCCTCAGGGTCCCCCTCCCGCCCAGCTCTGGAAGGCAGAAAGGGGTTAAAACTTACCTTTTTCCAGCGCTGGGCGGTGAGCTCTCCTCCTCCGATCCTCCTCTTCTCCTCCCCGTCGGCTGGCTGCATGCGCATTCAGCCGGTCACATAGGAAAGCATTCATAATGCTTTCCTATGGACGCTGCCGTGCTCTCACTGTGATTTTCAACACGCAAGCGCCTCTAGCGGCTGTCAATGAGACAGCCACTAGAGAAAATAGGGGAAGGCTTAACCCATTCATAAACATAGCAGTTTCTCTGAAACTGCTATGTTTATGAAAAAATGGGTTAACCCTAACTGGACCAGGCACCCAGACCACTTCATTAAGCTGAAGTGGTCTGGGTGCCTAGAGTGGTCCTTTAACGCCAGATGTGACTAAGGTGTCGGTCCATTCCACTGTCCTTTCTCGCCTTGACTATTGTAATCCACTTCTCAGTGGTCTTACGTGCTCCCAACTTGCGCCGTTACAGTCCATAATGAATGTGGCAGCGAGGCTCATCTTCCTGTCTGCCCGCACCTCCCATGCCTCACCCTTCTGTCATTCCCTACATTGGCTTCCTATAAAATATAGAGCTCAATTTAAAATTCTGGTTCTTGCTTTCAAATCGCTACATAATGCTGCTCCCACCTATCTATCCTCCCTTATACACAAGTATGTCCCGTCTAGGCCCTTACGATCTGCTGAAGACTTACATCTATCTTCTGTCCGTACTGCCACCTCTGATGCTCGCCTTCAAGATTTCTCGAGGGCTGCAACGTTCCTGTGGAACTCGCTTCCTTCCTCCGTTAGATGCTCACCCAGTCTCGACTCCTTCAAAAAATCATTCAAAACCCACTTCTTTATAAAAGCGTATCAATTAAACTGTTAATAGCTCCTGACTGATTCCTCTTCTGCAACTGTCACTAGTCTAATACTATCCTTACCTTTTTGTGTCATTTTACCCCACTCCCTCTAGCATGTAAGCTCATTGAGCAGGGCCCTCAACCCCTCTGTTCCTGTGTGTCCAACTTGTCTGGTTATAACTACATGTCTGTTCATCCACCCATTGTAAAGCACTGCGGAATTTGATGGCGCTATATAAATAACATAATAATAATAATAATAATAATAATGTCTCTTCCATATGGATGAGCTACATGGAGTTGCAATGATCAGTACTACAGGCAGCACACACCATGTGGATCTTGCACAAGAGTTAAAGCCTCCCAATGGCAGAGGTAGACTAACAAAGTGAGGTTTCATAATCAGTAGGGAGCTGTACCTATGGAGACCTTTCAATACATTATTTCTAAAATGGTGCAAACTTATATAATCCATCATCATGCTTTCCAACCATCCCTGTTTTGATGGTACAGATATTCGTGTTCTGACTTTGTTCCCTTGGGTCTCGTTTTTGGGGACACCAGGGAACTGGTGTAGTATGTTTATTTATTTATTACTGTACAATTAGTGGAGAAAGTACAATATACACAGACCAATTCAAGAGGTAGAGAGAGTAGGACTCGCACGGCCCTCAAGGGCTCCAGGACAGTGCTTCCTGCAAGCTTGATTGCCAGGTAAGCTGGCATGCATTCATGCTAGGTTAACATACCAGTAATTAAGGCAGACTAGCTCAATTTCCAGGCAGTTCCACCTCCTTTGTCCCCTACCATCGGCGTCCAGCTTCTTGGGACACCAATGTTGGGGGTATGCATCATGGTCCAAACCTGTGATAACAGTTGTAGTAACAGTACTGATACATTAACTACAAAAGGTTTAATAGCCCGTTATGTGATGATCAAAATTTTAAAAAGCATTGTTCTATAAAGGATTTTTATTGAAAAGTGCAGAAGCTTACCTTTCTAAACTCACGATCATCAACATTCAATTACAAAAACATCGTCCCAGGCTTTTCTTTTCTGATACCGAAGGTGACATGTGAGCTGGGAGTGCAGGTAATCTTGCATCAATTATTTAGAAATAATTGCTGTACAATTACTGTCAGGCAAATTTTCTAATTTCCTGAATGAACTGGATTTGTGAACATTCTAAATCCGAAACTATTTGAGATCTGTTAATATTGCAATTGGCTGAGGCAAACGAGAAATAATTATGCCAGTTTGTTTTCTGAGTTTGCATAAAGTGCTTCTGGAAATGATTAAATGACCCATTTAAACTGATATTTTCCTGTGTAATGACTGTGATGATTTAATAATATGGTGGGCTATGCTAAAAGTCTAGTATCGACCCAGGCATCCATTTACACTGAACATTTCAGTGAATGCTCGGAGTCTTGTGAATGGGAAATGTTGAATGAGTTCTGTCTGGCTGGAATTCAGAGCTGTACTTTCTGGAACAATATAGAGAGATGTAGTCATATCATCAATTAACCCCTTAAGGATGGAGGCAATTGTACAAGCTGTAATCAAAACAAAACCTGGAATTTGACTATATGAATGTTCAATAATAATTTATCTCTTTTATCTTAAGTGCACCCACAATTGTTATATATATAATTTTGTTCAGGAAAAACAGGGCTTTCATTCCACATCAAATATTTATATATGAAACATAATTTAATGTGAATAAAATCTAGGAAAGTGTGAGAAATGAATAAATGTTTTTTCTTAGTACTGCATGGCATTACTGTGAAAGTCATAATACTGTTAGCTTTTACTGTAATACACAGTGATGTCTCCCGAGTACAACAGTACCCCCATGTACAGGTGATATGGGTTTTTGGAAAGTTGCAGGGTCAAATATAGGGCTCTCCTCCTTTCAGTTTTTACACCTTGAAATTTGCCAGATTGGTTTGCTGGGCCTTTGTTGCCTTTGAGACTGTATGGCAGCCCAGGAATGGAAATGACCCCCATCATGGCATACCATTTGCAAAAGTAGGCAACCCAGGGTACTATGGTATTCAAAATGCGGAATGTCAAGTCTCGTTTGGAGGCACTTAGTCACAAACCGTGGCCAAAGTTAATATTCACATTTGTTTTTTTTGCCTCATTCACAAAGAAAAAATGCATTTTAACAGATGATATTATCAGCATTATACATTGTAATGCTCTAAAACACTCATATTTGTGTTCAGCGATGTCTCACGAGATCAACAGTAAACCCTGTGTCCAGCTTTAAAAGTGTTTTGGAAAGTTAAAGGGTAAATATAGAGCTTGCCCATTTCAGTTTTTACACATTGATATTTGCCAGATTGATTGATATTTGGTTATGTTGCCTTTGAGGCAGGTGAGGAATGAAAATGACCCCCATCAGGGCATACCATACAAAAGTAGACAACCTATGGTACTAGGGTATTCAAAACAGAGTCCAGTCTTTTTTAATATCTACTTAGTCACAAACCCGGGTCAAAGTTAGCACTTGATATCATCATTATCATCATGCATTTTACTCTTTTAAAAAACACTAATATTTGTGTTCAGCTTGTAGAGGTTTTATGGTGTTTTGCAAAGTTACAGGGTTAAATATAGGACTTGCAAATTAAATCTTCTGGACTTTCTGCCTGTTGTCAGGCACATCCCTCAAATTGTAACTAGTAAAATCACACAATTATGTAAAAAGATTAAGTACATATACACGTAGAATTTAACTATATACAATGTTAAGCAAAAATCTGCACACCAGTCAAGCCATAAGACTTGCTTTTCCCACAGAAATCACAAATTTGCAGTGATGTTACTACCGCAAAGGATTCTGGGTGAAACAGCTGTCCATGAGTGGTTCACTGGCTTTGCAATGAAGAATGAAGAATGTTACACTGTATACAATTTTAAATAAAAAGTATACAAACGTAGCCAGAATTCAGCTGTAAGCATTTGCAACACTTACAACAATCAAGTAACATACATTCATATAAAATGTAAGTTACTTGGCCAGTCAATGTAATGACAGGAATGAATAAGTAGATAACTCCCTAATTCCCACGTTATTAGGGAGCTATATACTAAAAGGCCGAAACACCTGAATTGGTCTTTCAGCCAAATTTACTAATACTAAGTAAAGATTACTAAATATTAGTAAATTATGCCCCTACTCGCTATACTGTGAGTAGGGCCATGTCTATTAAACAGTGAGTAGCCTGTGACTGCTCACTGTAAAAAAAAAAAATGCCCCCCCTCCGAAGCCCCCACCCGTGCTGCGCTAGTGGGGGCTACTAACCTGAAGGGGGACCTATTGCCCCCCCGGCCCCCACCCCTGAACGGTGGGTGGGGGCCTTAAAGTAAAATAAGTGGGGGGACCTATTGTCCTCCCCCCGGCCCCCACCCTCGAGCGGTGGGTGGGGGCCCTAAATTAGAATAAGGGGGAGACCTATTGTCCTCCCTCCCCGGCCCCCACCCCTGAGCGGTGGGTGGGGGCCCTAAATTAGAATAAGGGGGGGACTTAATGTCCTCCTCCCTGGCGCCCACCCATGAGCGGTGGGTGGGGCCCTAAAAACTAATTAGGGGGGGACCTAATGTCCTCCCCCCTGGCCCTCATCCCTGAGCGGTGGGTGGGGCCCCTAAATTAGAATGGGGGGGACCTAATGTCCTCCCCCCTGGCCCCCACCCCTGAGCGGTGGGTGGGGGCCCTAAATTAGAATGAGGGGGGACGTAATGTCCTCCCCCAGGCCCTCACCCCTGAGCGGTGGGTGGGGGCCCTAAAAACTAATTGGGGGGGACCTAATGTCCTCCCTCCTGGCCCCCACCCCTGAGCGGTGGGGGGGCCCTAAATTAGAATGAGGGGGGCCATTAGCTAAACCTGTTAAAAAATAAAATAAAACTTACAATTTGATGTTTTCTTTCTTCTAAAATCTTTTTTCAGCCCCAAAAAAGGCCAAATAAAAAGCCATAATAACCGATGCACTGAGTGCTTTGAGCCTAAATGCAGGGCGGGGCAAGGCTTCATTCAATAAAAAAAATGAAGTGAAATGCTTGATGTGTGTGTTTCTTTATTCTTCTCAAGATTTCTGAGGATTTCTTGTTCAAATAAAATGATGTTCCACTCGGTACCTTATCATCTCTCTTCATCATTAATGAGAATATAAAGAAAATTAACCTGGAGAAGATACTATAGGGAATAGCTGTCTAGGAATACAGAAAATTAACCATTCGGTACCCGAAGAGGAAAGACCATTACCAATATGTTTGCCTTTTCTCTGTGCCTCACAAGCTTTTTTTATGCAAATTAACCTCCTGACTATTCAAGTGCAACTTAGCAGGATTTTAATTCATAGAAAATCCACCTGCATGAAGAAGAAACCTTAATGTGCAATCATTTAAAAAGCTGCATGGGCCCCTACAGTAACTCTCATTTTGGCCCCCAAAAAAAAACTGCTCGAGAGAAAAGAGAAAACTGCAGGTAGCTGGTAATAGGTTGGCCTTCCAGCAGGGCCAGTTGTGTAGACCCCCTCATGTCCAGGCCTGGTTAAAATATCTCATACACAAGTACAACATTTTTAAAATACTTGATTAAGTCACCATTTCAACATATAAAATAAAATATGAAACCAAGTAAATCAGTGGTGAGCAATATTGTAACAATATAGTTTATTTGATAAGCCATCACCAGTTGAAAATAATGGGATCTTCCAATATGTCCTTTTTTCTCACACAGGGGAAATTAACTAATTATTCAATAATCGATAATATCTGTCATTTAATTGGGTCGTTTTATGAGCGTTTTAGGTACGTTTCAATGATTAGAGCAGACAAAGACAAAGTTTTCTAGTTTGCTTAAACTGGCTGCTTTCAGGTAATTTGCCATAAAACATTTCAAGAATATATATTCCAGAAAGAGAATTTGTATTTTTGAACTAATTATCTTGTAAAAATATAACACATTGGTTATGAAAATTACTAATCTGAAATCATAGCCATAGCCATAGGAAGTATATTGTACGAAAAGAAAAGTGACAGACTGAAATACTTTGTATAAAAAAGGATAATATCATCCTATAATTAATTTTTTTTTAAATTATACAGTTCTAATAGCTTACGGCTGGAATCCAATGCCACAGTTATGTCTAAGTGCCATATAAACTAAGTAAGAAAACTGTAAAAAAAAAAAAAAAAAGATACATGCTGGGGCCTTTGAGACCTCAGCATATAATACGGGAGAGGCAATCATATCACTCATATTTTTAATTAAATAAATCTAAAAAGGTAAGCTTTTTATATATAGCAACTTGTATAAGGACACCTCATCCACTAATAGAACATAATACAATTTATTCAACAGTGCTCTATGTAAAAAAAAACTATTACTTTATCACATATGATTAATTAAACTGCTTGACTGTATTTTTCAAAGACCTTTGCCCCCTAAACCTCTTGTCAGTACGTATATGGCTGTACTGATTGAAATTGAGACTATATTACATAGTTGTTTAGTATGAGAGCTCCACAACCCCAATTGAGCTATATTCACTATTTTTTTTATATAATCTCTGTTTGTGTGGTTATGCAGTATATGTGTTATTCATCAGTAGATTTCACCTATAATCCCAGCATGAAATATTTTAATTACATAGAGCATCTTCACATGAACAAACAATACATATCCATTTCAAGAGAAGCAATATGTCATAATAACATAAATAAAAACACAATATAACCAAACTTATAATGGTATCAAAGCTTTATGTGGGGGAGGGGAATAATGGTTACAAAACAAAGGTTGTTTATCTAATGGTGTCTGTACCCGTGGTCATAAGCGTTGCATATTAAAAAAATTATGTTACTGGCCTAAAGGGATAAAAATGCAGGTCATATGTGAAGAAAAATAACCTTTCAAACAATAATTAGGTTGAACATCAAGAATGAAGCTATTTGAAATACATGGCAGGCAATGTTTATCTTCACCCAAAGCTTTGTCAGTTATCTTGTTTTGAAACATTCATTGATTTCGTTCTGTACACGTGTAAGAAAAAAGAAAAAAAAAATAGAATATTGTGATGGCTGTCTGCATTTCTTGGTTTGGTGAGGTTACCATTGTGTGATTGACATCTCTCTCTAAAGGCTCTCGAAAGTGGTGTCATGTCACAAGGGAAGATGTCATCTCCATAGTTCGATAAAAACTTAATGACTCACCGAAGACACCTGCTGAGATGTGACCTACATATCGGACATCTGTAAAGAGAGCTTTAGCTTTTTCTGCTAGCAATGTGGATTTTTGCATCTTTGTATCTAAGGACAGAACGTTTCAGTGTTGTTTTCTGAAATCGGTGAGCAGTAGCTGTATGCTACAAATGCATTAATAATATGAGAAAAATGTGAATGTACATTTCTGTCCAATTACTTTTTTTTAACACCACTCACCAACATGCAGTCATAAATCAAACAAATTGCTTTGTACAAGGAGTAATTTGTCTTTTTATAAAGCTCCCGAATAGAATGTTTACAACTCCTTCTTAGAGGGTTATGTGCTCTCCTATTCCCTAAAATTATTTTAGGCTCAACTCGTAAACCTCACTTGGAGCAGGGATGTATTTACCACAAGGTAAACAAGGCATTTGCCTAGGGCGGCACTTGAGGGGGGGGGGAGTGGGCGCCAGAAAATGCTACCCCAAGCTCCCAGACAAATGCCTTGTTTGCCTCATGTTCTGGGGGCTGTTCACCTTACTGTGAGTGAGTGTAGCTGTCAGTGTGTGTCTGTGAGTGAGAATGGGTGTGTCTGTGAGTGTGTGTCAGTGTGTGTATGTCATTTTATGTGTATCTGAGAGTGTGTGCCTGTCAGTGAGTGGGTGTGTCAGTGTGTGTCTGTTAGTGAAAGTGTGTTTTGGTTAAACAGTGTGTGCCAATGACTGTATGTGTGTGCCAATGACTGTGTATATGTCAGTAAGTGTATATCAGTGCATGTATCAATGAAGGCATGTGTCTGTCAGTCAAAAAAATGGCCTTGACACGAATTGGGGGGGCAAATTTAGATTTTGGGGGTGCCCGAATTTAGTCGTCCCTAGGGCAGCACAAATCCAAAATACACCACTGACTTGGAGGCATCGTTCTAAGTACTCAGGGAAGTCCCCCGAAATCATCAGCAACAGGGACAGTCCGGAGACAAGAATAACCTGGAATGTGGTAGGAAAGTAATGGAGCAAAATTGTAATTTTCACCTGAATTTTGATATAATTGAACAATTGGTATTGAAATAAATGATCCTATTTTTAATTGAGGTATAGGTGAATATAAGTGTCATGCTTCTTTTTGGTCTTCGTGAACATTTACTCATTTTGTCACTTACCTCCATTCAGAAAGCCTTGGGCTCAAAGGGGAATTTTGTAAAATATATTGAATACAGT